GGTTCTACACATAACTGAGGTCGTACAGTAATTGTCTTTGTCTGACTTGTTTCACCTAGCATGATACCCTTCAAGTCCATCCATTCAGGTTATTGCAAATGGCAAGATTTTATCCTTTTTTATGGCTGAATACCATTTCACTGTGTATATATTTCACATTTTCTTTGTTTTTAAAATTTTGTTAGTTTTCTATTTCTGCCATAATGAATTACAAAAACTATAGTGGTTTAAAACAATACAAATGTATTTTCATACATTTCAGGAGGCAGAGTTCTGACACAGGTCTTACTTGGCTAAGATCAAGACATCAACAGGGCTATGTTCCCTTCTGGAGGTTCCAGGAGAGTATCTATTTCCTTGCCTTTTTCATCTCCTAAAGGCTTCATATTCTGGCTTGTCTCTAATCTTCCATCTTCAAAGCCAGTAGCATAGCATCTCTCCACCACTGCTTTCTGAGTCAGATCTTTCTCTGACTCTCCCCATTTTATTTATCCATTCATCCATCGATGGACACTTTAGTTGTTTTATTTCTTGGGTGTTGTAGATAATGCTGCGATAAACATGAGGTGGTGCATATTTCTTTTTGAGTTAGTGTTTATGTTTTCTTCAGATAAATACCCAGAAGTGGAATTGCTGGATCATATGGAAGTTCTGTTTTTAATTTTTGAGGAACCTCCATACTGTTTTCCATAGTGTTTGCACCAGTTTACATTCCCACCAACAGTGCAGGAGGGTTCCCTTTTCTCCATGTCCTTACTAACACTTATTTGTTGATGATTGCCATTCTGACAGGTGTAAGGTGATATCTCATTGTGGTTTTAATTTGCATTTCTCTGATGATTAGTGATGTTGTGCATCTTTCCATATATATTTATTGGTCATCTGTATGTTCTCTTTGGAAAAATGTCTATTCAGATCTTCTGCCCACTTTTTAATTAGATTGTTTAGATTTTTTTGTTTTGTTTTGTTGCTACTGAGTTATATGAGTTTTTTTTTTAAATATTTTGGATCTTAACCCTTTATCAGATATATGATTTCTGCCATTAAGTAGGTTGCCTTTTCATCTCATTGATGGTTTCCTCTGCTGTGTAAAAGCTTATTAGTTTGCTGTAGTCCCACTTGTTTATTTTCTATTTTGTTGCCTTTGCTTTTGGTATCAGATCCAAAAATATCATCACCAAGGCCTATGTTAAAGAGTTTCCCACCTATGTTTTCTTATAAGAGTTTTGTGGTTTCAAGTCTTTAATCCATTTTGAATTTATTCATGGATAAGACAGTGGTCTAGACTCATTATTTTGCATGTATATGTCCAGTTTCCCCAGCACCATTTATTGAAAAAACTGTCTTTTCCCATTATATGTTCTTGGCTTCTTTGTTTAAATTAATCGACCACTTAAGTGTGGGTTTATTTCTGGGTGCTCTATTCTGTTCCATTGATCTGTGTCTGTTTTTATGCCAGTATCATATTGTTTGATCACTATAGCTTTGTGGTATAGTTTGAAATCAGGGAGTATGATGCCTCCAGCTTTGTTTTTCTTTCTCGGGTTTGCTGTGGTGGCTCTTTTGTGGTTCTGTACAAATTTTAGGATTGTTTGTTCTGTTTTTGTGAGAACTACTGTTGGAATTTTGTTAGGGATTGCATTGAATCTGTAGATTGCTTTGGATAGTATGGACATTTTAGCAAAATTCTTTTAATTCATGAGCATGGAATATATTTCCATTTATTTGGGTCTTGTTCAGTTTTTTTCATCAGTATCTTACAGTTTTCATTGTACAGGTCTTTTACCTCCTTGGCTAAATTTATTCCTAGGTATTTTATTATTTCAATGCAATTGTAAATGAGATTTCTAAATTTTTCTTTTTGATACTTCACTATTAGTGTATAGAGACGTAGCATATTTTTTGTATATTGCTTTTGTATCCTCAAACTTTACTGAATGTGGGTTTTTTTTTGTTTTTTTTCTTTATTGATTTTAGAGAGAGAAGAAGTGAGAGGGAGAGAGAGATAGAAACATAGATGAGAGAGAACATCGATTGGCTACCTCCTGCATGCCCCCCACTGGGGATCGGGCCTACAACCTGGGCATGTGTTCTGACTGGGAATCGAACCGGCAACCTCTTCGTGCATGGGTCAATGCTCAACCACTGAGCCACACTGGCCAGACTTACTGAATGTGTTTAATATTTTTAATTGTTTTTTGGTGGAGTCTTTAGGGTTTACTATATATAATAAAAATAGCAACTTCAAATAGAGACGATTTTACTTCTTCCTTTCCAATTTGGATGCCTTTTATTTCTCTTTTTTCTCTTCTTTTTCTTGCCTGATTGCTCAGGCCAGGACTTCTAGTACTAGGTTTAATGAAAATGTCAAGCATGGGTATCCTTGTCTTGTTTCTTATTTTAGAAGAAAAGCTTTCAGGTTTTCACTATTGAGTATGATGTTAGAAGTGGGCTTTTTATGTATGGCCTTTACTATGTCAAGGTATGTTCCCTCTGTCCCCACTTTGTTGAGTTTTTATCATAATAGTAATATCTGATGTAATTAAATATGTAGTCACTATTCAAATTTCCTCAATTAATGTTTAGTTTATTTGTTAGTCTTAAGATCAAAATGAGGTAAAAAGTTGTATTTGGCAGGAACAGATCTTTAAGTCTTTTCTAATCTATAGACTCTTCCTCTGTCATCTTTTTCTTGAAGTTTCTTTATTAACAAAAACAGGTGGTTTGTCCAGTATGCTTTGCGCCTGACTTCTGACTGCACCCCTGTGGTATCATTTAATATGCTCCTCTGTTCTGTTATTCCTGCATGTTGGTATTAGATCTAGAGGTTTGACCATGCTCAGGATTGGTTTTCTGACAATGATCCTTCGTAGAAGGTGGTACATGATGCCTGGTTGTTTAGCGTTTCTATACCCAGTGATGTGTTGGGACTTCACAGCGGTGCTTCTTTAATGCTGTCATTCCTTCTTCATCATTCACTGGAACAGCTTTAGAAGTTTCTTCTACAAAAAAATGCTGTCCTGTTGAATCCCCTGGGGACTTAGAGAGCAGGTCAAGCAGGAAAAAAAGGTCAGGAATTGATTTCAGAGTAATGAGCTGGTTTCCTAGAATCCCCTAGTAGTGCTCACTGGGATTTGTTTTATTTGTTTCATTGTGAACTAGTGGATTTAAATATACTGGATGTGTTTCAGATTATTAAAGTTTATTTTTCAGTTGTCAGTTGGAGCCTCTTCAGGTTGGCTTGTGAGGTTTTTTTAATACCCCTGACTTTTTTTTTTTAATCCTCACCTGAGAATATTTTTCCATTTATCTTCAGACAGAGTGGGAGGGAGGGAGAGAGTGAGGAGAGAGGGAGAGAGAGGTGCACATCAACCGGTTGCCTTCCGCACTACCCTGTCAGGGTTGGTATGCTAGCTGCCTTCGAGGGGAAATGGAATTTGGGACCACCATCTGGGCACTTGATGTTACTGGCTTAGTCACTGTTTCTGGTTTTTTTTTTAGTGGACAGAGTAGGAAATGATGTCTGTCTGTTTGCAAGATTACCTACCTCATCAGTTTATGTTGCTAGTTTTAACTCAAATTCAAGACTACAGGATTTTTACTTATTTTTTATTTTATTTTATTATTATTTTTAATCCTCACCCGAGGGCATTTTTCCTTTTTTTTTTTTTTCAGGTAGAGTGGGAGGGAGAGAGAGGAGCAGAGAGAGAGAGAGAAACATCAACATGAAAGGGACACATCGAGTGGTTGCTACCCGCATGACCCAACCAGGGCTGGGGACAAACTGCAACCGAGGTACATGCCCTTAGCGGGAACCGAACCCGGTCTCTCTGGAGCGCAGGCCAACGCTCTAATCGCTGAGCCAAGCCAGCCAGGGCAGGATTTTTACTTATTAATCTTTCTTTCACAGTGAATGATTCCAACAGAATCTCTTCTTTACCTTAGGCCACTTTATATACCCTGCAACCACAGAACAGCTGCCTCTGATACTAAGATTTTTGAGAGTACCTGAAGATGTTTCTTCAATTATTTTTGCCCACAGGGCATATTCCACTTGGGGTGGACTAATCAAATCACCGTGTTTAAAGTCACTTTAAATAGACTCTCTCTGTGGGGCTGTGCCACCAACCTGATTCCAGTTTGGTTGAGTTAATTTATTTTATTTTACTTTTAATTGTTAGGGATTGCTTTTTAAATATTTGAAGTGTTTTGTATATAAAAATGTATATGTAGTTCAAAAGTCAAATCTGAAAACAAAGTATGTGCTGTGGAGTCCAGCTTCTGCCCCTGCTTGTTCACTCCTCCACATGTTCTATGGCTTCTTTAACTTTCCATTTTTTAATATAAGCAGTTACGCCCCAGCCAGTGTGGCTCAGTGGTAGAGCATCAACCCATGCACCAAGAGGCCGCTGGTTCAGTTCCCGGTCAGAGCACATGCCCAGGTTGTGGGCCAAATCTCCAGTGGGGGGCATGCAGGAGGTGGCCAATCGGTGTTGTCTCTCATTGATGTTTCTTTCTCTCTCTCCCTTTCTCTCTCTCTCTCTCCAAAATCAATAAAGAGAAAAATTTTTAAAAAGAAAAAAAGTTGCTGGTTCGATTCCTGGTCAGGGTACATGCCCGGGTTGTGGTCCAAATCCCCAGTGGAGGGCATGCAGGAGGCAGCCAATCAATTGATGTTTCTATCTCTCTCTCTCCCTATCTCTTCCTAAAATATAATAAAAAAAGTGTAAGCAGTTACAGGTTTATGAACATGTATATATAGACACTGTGTGTGTGTGATAATAGAAAGTGTACACATGTTGTCCATCTTGTTTTCTCATTTAACAAAATGTCCTGAAGTCACTCTGTCTCCTTGACCTTTGGGTTGTAATGTCCTCACCCAGTGCAGTGCCCAGCCTTCATCTTCCTAGCAGCCTTCAGTTGGTCAGCATGTGCTTCAACATCGCTATGCAGTGTGTCGGGTCTCAGAAGTCCCACCTGTCCTGTGTCCTCCCTTCCAGGCCATTGACAGCATCCACCAGGTAGGCGTGTACTGTCTGGCCCTGGTTCCTGCCAACACCTTGCCCAAGGCTCCTCTTGGAGGGGTTCACATCTCTGAAGCCAAGCAGCGCTTTCTGGAGGGGATGCTGCACCCGTGCAATGTGCTTATGTGCCCACACACCTGTGTCACCAACCTTCCCAAACCTCGCCAGAAACAGCCAGGTTAGTTGTGCATAACAGTCTTAAAATGGGTGGCAGCCACTATCATGGTTAAATGGTGCAACCCAGTTAGGGTTAAGAGCCAGAGCGAGTGGCACACCAGGCCATTCACCAGCTCCTCCTTCCTTGGAACTGAGCCATATAGGAGAGAACTTTATCACGCCACCAGTATGGTGGCTTCCATCCGCCTGTTAGAATCCAATGAATGGCTAAATTCAAGCCTGGCATCTTAGCTTTGGACAATAAGGCGATGGCTCCGGGAGAGTAGAAACACTGCCCAGAGCAGACTTGGATTAAAGGGCCTATTTTGGCTACTGCAGTGCTCATGGAGGGCAGTCATGCCAAGGCCGTGGCAGGGCAGGGTTGTGTGCTTCTTCCCGTAGCCCTGTGAGCCACCACAGCCATGGGTTGATGGGACCTGGGAAGTCTCAACATACGCTCAATTTTCCTTCTCTAGTTCAACTGTTATGTACAGTGTTTCAATTTTAGTAAATGCTAGCTTTTCTTTTTTTTTTTTTTATTGAACACTAAAATATCATTAAATAAAATATATTTAATCTGGAAGATTTAATTTTCTGTTTTATATATAAAATACAGTAAAACAATGAAATATATTAAGAGTTTAGCTGTGGCTGAGGTCAAATCATATCCCCCCAGATATGTGCCATATGGTAAGTTTCTTAATGTGGTATTGCTTATATTTAAGAGAAAGATTCTCTTTGTCATTTAGCATAAACCTTATAGCTAGTTTCCTGAACATCTATATCATAGTGAAGAGTTAAATACCTAATTCAAATAAAAAGTGTGGTATGTCAGTAGAAGCCATCGGCTTATTCAGTATCCTCCCATTTTCTAGAGGTTGGACCAGCCTCCATGATTGTTGGGAATCTGGTTGCTGGGAAAAGAATTGCGCAGGCCTCTGGGCGGGAGCTGGCTCACCTGGAAGACAGTGACCAGGCCAGGAAGGTAACGGACCAGTGCCTGGGAGGGTGAGGTGGGCACCTTTCACGTGAAGCTCTGAAGGACTGAGTTGGCCTCTCTGTGCAGTTCCTGTTCCTGCCCGATGTGCTGCAGTGGAGGGCCCACACCACTCCTGACCACCCGCTGTTTCTGCTGCTGAATGCCAAGGTGAGGCCTGCCCGGCTGCTCCATGGGGGCCAGTGGAGCCTGCATGGTGTATACTGAGGTACCTGAAGAGCAAACCCTGAAGTCCCCAGCTCAGTGTGACTCAGTGACTGCTTTCCTAGGGCACAGTGACGAGCACAGCAACCTGTGTCCAGCTGCACCGAAAGGCTGAAAGGGTGGCTGCTGCTCTGGTGGAGAAGGCAAGACTGAGCATTGGGGACCATGTGGCTTTGGTCTTCCCTCCAGGTAAGCACACCAAAACGTCCCAGAACTCACCTGGATTTCTCCTCCACACACACCCAGATTCCGTGGGTCTTTTTTCATGGGACAGTCCTAGTGGTACTGGTGTCACAGTTACCTTTCCCACAGACTGTTGGAGAGACTTTGGTGGGCTTCCGGGATGCAGTCCTGCACCACTGCAACCATAACAGTCCAGCTTCTGAAACTTAACATTGGGTGATAGCAGTTCCAGTTAGCTTTTTTACATGTCTATACACCCTTGTAAATGTAATCTACTGTGATTAGACTCAGACATTTTTAGTATTACAGCCTTTATTATTATTTTGTCTTTTCATCTGGCTGGTCTTTCCCTGTCTCTCCCCTACATTTTATTATAAAGCACACACCCTTGTCACCACCAGCCAGGTCAAGAAATAGGTCTTTGCCAGGCACTCGGAAGTGCCTTTGTCTTCCTGTCCCAACTATGGCCTTCTCCTTCTTCCCCAAAGTAGCCACTGTCCTGACTTTTGGAGTTGGCATTTCTTCTATTTCTTTATAGTTTGATCCCTAGACATACTTTAGTCTGCAAAGTTTTCTTAAATTTGATATATTTTTAAGTCTCTTTTAATCTACAGGCTACCCTCTTCCCTTACAATTTATCTATTAAAGACCTGGCAGCCCTGGCCGGTTTGGCTCAGCGGTTAGAACATCAGCCTGTGGTCCTGAGAGACCCGGGTTCGGTTCCCGCTAAGGGCGCGTACCTCGGTTGCAGTTTGTCCCCGGCCCTGGTTGGTTGTGCGGGTAGCAGCCACTCGATGTGTCCCTTTCACGTTGATGTTTCTCTCTCTCTCTCTTCCTCTCTCTCCCTCACACTCTACCTGAACCAAAAAATGGAAAAATGTCCTTGGGTGAGGATAAAAAAAAAAAAAAAAAAAAAAAGACCTGGCATAACCCTGCAAATCAGCACATTCCCGGGTGCTGTATTCCCTGCAGTTTGGCAGCTAGATCCAGACAACAGATCAGACATAGTTTCCAGTCCCTTGCCAAGACTATAAGTGATACTGAGCTATTTCATCAGAAACCACATGTCGGATAATCTCTCCTTTGGTGGTATTAGCAGCCAGTGGTACTCAGTGTTCTACATTCTGAATTCATTAGGGGTCACAAAACAGTGATCTTCTTTCACTTCTTTTTTATTTTTTAGCCATAAAACTAATAAACAGACACTCTCTCATCTAGTATTTGGTCACCCAGTGGTAGACGTCATACGTGAAAGGCAGTAGTATTCTTTTCTTCTGTCCATTTTCAATAAATGGAATTTTGTTTTCTAGCATACTCCAGAGGTGACCAATCATTATGAACTCATGAGCTTAAGCATATTTTTGGGTTTCAATCAACTGCAGTTATTTTCTTTTTGAAGCTCAAATTTCCCCATCTTAGGCCAATAGGAGCCTCTTCTGGCTAGCTCCCACATCATTTGGCTTTTTTGTTCTGGGTGTGCCTGGGGGCCCCAGGCCCATCTTGTGCTCATCCTGTCCCATACCTGGGATCAGCCATTTTTCCATGGAGTCTGGTCCTATTGCTCCCAGAACAAACTCTGACCACATTTCCTTCCCCTGAGAATCTTAAGGATGTTACTCCATTTTCTGGTGTAAAGTCAGATGGCAATTTAATTTTCTTTTTCTTATGAGCCACTTGCTGCTTTTGCTCTGCTACCTAAAGGGAAATTTTTCTTTCTATAAAGTCCAGGATGTAGTCTTAATATTAGTTGTTATGGGTCAATATTCTCATATATAAGGAAGATATTTTTAAGTAGGCAGCTTCAATTTTTTTTTTTAATTTCAAGAAAGTTTTCTAGAATCAGGTTTTTTTCTATTTGTTATCTTCCTTTGCTTTGATTCTCTTCCTGTTCTCTTCTTCCATTTATGTGTTAGATCTTTGTCTTCAGTATTGTCATTTTCTGTAGAGATGACCCAGTTTCTTACTAAACTTCTCCGAGTTTTAATAGTCCCCTCTCATCTTCTGTCACTGAGGCTTTGTCTGTTGTCCTGTTTGCTCTTGTGCTCCTTCTGCTTTGATCTTCATTTTTTGAAATGATATTTTATAATTTCTAGTTCTTTTCTCATTTCTGATATATTTTTCTAATTCTGATTTCTGTTGTACTTTTATGTCTTATATCATCTTAATGTATTTTAGCATATTTTATTTATTTATTTATTTTATTGGCCCTGGCCGGTTTGGCTCAGCGGTTGGAGCATCGGCCTGCGGTCCGGAGAGACCCGGGTTCGGTTCCCGCTAAGGGCATGTACCTCGGTTGCAGTTTGTCCCCGGCCCTGGTTGGTCGTGAGGGTGGCAGCCACTCGATGTGTCCCTTTCACGTCGATGTTTCTCTCTCTCTCTTCCTCTCTCTCCCACCTCTCTCTCTATCTGTGCAAAAAAAGGAAAAATGTCCTCGGGTGAGGATAAAAAAATAATAATAATAATATTTTATTGATTGACTTGAGGGAGAGAGGAAGTGAGAGGGAGAGAGAGAAATTTGATGAGAGAGAAGATCGATTGGCCACCTCCTGCATGACCCCCACTGGAGATCAGGCCCACAACCTGAGCATGTGCCCCGACCAGAAGTGAACCATCAACCTCTTGGTGTATGGGTCGACGCTTAACCACTGAGCCACACCGGCTGGGCCTATTTTAGCATATTTTTAAAAAGATAGTTAAAATTTTTATCTGCTGTCTCTCTATATAACTTTGTAAAAATGTGAGCTCACGTTGTGGCCAGCTTTCCGAGGTTTACTGACTCTGTCTCCTCCCCAATCTTACTGCCACCCATCCCCTTCTCTCCTTCTTTCCCTTGTCTTGTCTCTCTTCCCTTGATGTGTCCTTCCCTTCTAGCAGGGTTTCTGCTGTGGGGGCCCTGCCTGCTCTTGGGTTGAATTGCTGCTCTCACACTCTCACCAGTAAATGGATGATGGATGGTTTCCTTGCCTCTTTCTGCTCTCTGATCAGACCCATAAATTGGAAACGAGATGCCAGTGATCTCCCCCATGCAGAACAACAGTGCTTGCCACTGGGTGCTCTGTCCTTCCTGCTCGGTGCTCGACCTTGGAGACTTCCAGAAATCTTCACTTGTCCCTTTCCCTCCTTTCCATTCCCCACTCTTCGCTCTGCTGTTCTCATTAGACTTTTGCTTATGTGCAGACCTCAGATGTCCATCCATACCCATCAGGTTGGGTTGACCCTTCCTCTCCAGTCCGCTGTTGAGGTCACAGTTCTGTGAGTTTGTTGTTTGGCTATCATCAAATTGTTTTCTCCCATATCTGGCCTGTGGGTGACACACACTCGGCATATCATTCTCTTCCCTGGTGACTGTGCCTTAGCTGGAGCAGGAACCAGGTTATGTTTGTTGCTTTGGTTTGCTTCTCTCGGGTTGTAGGTGCTGGTGCATCACCTTTTCCCCTCTATAAGTTTGTTGTTGTCTTGCCTAGAAGCTTGTGGATTTTCCTTTTCACCTCAGAGTTAGGAATTTTACCAGGATGTGCCCAAGTGTGGGTTCTTTCTCACTTTGTTGCTCATTTAATCTTCAGACTCTCATTTTCTTTCAGGAAAATGTTCTTTTCATTACTGCCTTTTCTCTCTTGTCTTGCTTTCGGAACTCCTCTGACTTACACTGTGGATCTCTCATGCAAGTCTTGGATCTTCTCCATGGTGACTCTTGTGTTCTGCTCTATGCTGACATCGTTCTTGCCTGACCTCCAGGCCTCTTGTCCAGGTCTCAGCAGTGACCATCTCTTTTCAGATTATCTGGTGGGACTCCTGCCACTGGGGGGCCTTTACCTTGGGAGGTTGCCATGGAGTGTAGACATTCATGTGACCACTCACCCATGTGCTCCTCTGCCCAAGAGCCTGGGTTATTTCTTGACATCAGATACTCCAGACCTTCTACTGGCATTACAGTCACTTGTATTCATTCCAGTCCCTGGAATGGGAAGCTGTTTTTCTCCAGGGTGATTGTAACTTCCTGGGTTCCAAGGCACTTACAGAGCACCTCAGTGTAAGGCAAGCATCGCCCTGGCTGGGAGGAAGAGCTGGCGGGTGCTGTCTCTCCCCGGCCCCCTGAAGGTCCACACTGGCACGTGCCAAGAGCCTGGGAGGACAAGAGCACATCCTAGGCTCAGGGCTGGGGCTATAGGCACGTGGTGTGGAAGGCACCCTCGGAGGGGGTGGGGCTGACGTAACGAGGTGTGTGGGAACTGTCTTAAATGCTAAGAGCGAAAAGAAGACAGTGCCATCCTGATAATTGAGAATCTGAGTGATGAAAATAGCTGATGCCTTTCTCTACTTTGGGGCATGTTTGACACTGTTCATCAAAAATGTTTAAAGAACATGCATGGTGAAGTTCTAAGTTTACATTTTAAACACCATAGTGCAGGTGGAAAGTGGACTAGTAGGAGGGCCTGGAAATCCCAGTGGTGCAGGTGCTCTGCAGAGGCATAGGCGTGTGTATTGTCTAATTCTTGGAGAATCCAAGACTGTCTTCCAGTTCTCAAAGGAGCATGTGACCCCAGGAAGTGGCAGAAGGGTGGGGCCAGTGTGTTGCCGGTGACTCTGGGAGAAAAGGAAAATTGCAGAGACAGCAGGAGCTGTGCTAGCTCAGGAAACGAGTTCCCACTGATACCTCTTTGTGTTCAGTTTAATGATGTGTTTGTGGCACATTGGCAGAGTAACCGTGCTGGGTGTTTGAACACTCACATGTGTGTTGGAACTGCTGTGTGCCGGCCCTCAGTGTGGCCCTCACTTGATCCTCCCAGCCGCCCAGAGGCACTGAGCAGATGGGTGGTCCTCTGGCAGCAGTGTTGGTAGGACCAGCCTGGCCTGGTGGGTGGACTCAGGCCCCTGTAGTTACCATGCTGAGCTGCCCCTGGCTTCAGTGGTCACATTCCTAGTTATTGGTAGAGCCTTGGGATTTGTAATCCAGTGAAACCCATGAATTGGGTTAAATGTGGCATATTTATCTTGACTCTGGAATTGAAACAGCCTGAGACTCTGATGTCTTGTAGCCTGAGGATGCCAGGTGGGCCTTATCTGATTTGAGGGCAATATCTAGAAAGGCCTCCAGGGTGTGGGGGCACAGGTGTTCTCAAGTCAGACTGAGTTCAAGAAGAGAAAATGGGTTTTCAGTGTGGTATGATTCCCCACAAGTGCTAATTAGGGGGGATTTTAAACATATGAAAAAGATGAAGGAACAGCATGGTGGTTCTTTGTTACATCGTGTTGTTGAGAACGAGGCAGAGACATCCTGGCCTGCCCCCAGGGGTGTCGACCTCCTGTAGATGTGTGAGCAAGGAGGTACAGGGCTTCCATGTATACTGCCCCCGCTTCTATGTTCTCATGTCTACTCTCATGGATAGCCTGGCCCTCAAAGGGCCTTTCTGTCCTCGCCACCCGTCCCGTGTCCATTTTGTGCACAGAGATGGTGGTCAGAGCTCACTGTTCTACTAGGCCCAGGCTGCACCCACACCCCTCCCTGGCCTCCAGGGTCTTTGAGAAGTCAACCTGCAGTATGGGTATCTTCTGCCTCTGCCTGACAGCGTTGTGTTCAATAAGTGTTTCACTAGTTGGGGTAGTAGCACCTTTACCAGGCAAAGCACATTGCATCCCCGTGTCTTTTTGCCGTTCCATGGCACTAGACGCGGTGAGCTGCTATCAACCCCACGCTGACCCTCTGACTACGTGTTTCCCCAGGGGTGGACCTCATTGCTGCCTTCTATGGCTGCCTGTACTGCGGTTGCGTGCCAGTCACTGTGAGGCCCCCGCATCCCCAGAACCTCGCCACCACACTTCCCACTGTCAAGATGATCGTGGAGGTGAGTGTATGCTGTGGCCCCACAGGGCAGACCTGATCAAGGGCCTACATGCTGGTCAGACCACGGGTCTCGTCTCCTCTCAGTGTCTGGTTATCTTTTCAGGGCCCCACACGGGGGTTTGCTCCCAGGCATCATGTCTCACTTGTGCCTTGATCCCTGTACTCTGCAGGTCAGCAAGTCTGCATGTGTCCTCACCACACAGGCCATCATGCGACTGCTCAAGTCCAAGGAAGCAGCAGCCACTGTAGACGTCAGGACCTGGCCCACTATTCTAGATACAGGTACGTGTCCTTAGTGCCATTGGTGTGCACATGGGTCCCCACCAGGACGAACTCTCTTTCCTTTCATTGTTGCAGAGACTTATTATGGCCACCCAAAATAAGTTAGTTAAGAGCAGCTGATGTAAATGGTGAGGAGGCTGCTAATAGCCTGCTGGCTGGTACCCTGCAGCCTGTGTTCACCTGCTAGAGCTGGACATAGGACTGAGGGAGACATGAAGCACAGCTCATTACTCACAGGGTCTCTTCCTCCAGGGGCAGCAAAGATCCTTGCCTGAGGCCTGTGTGCCTGAGACCTGTGTGCCTGAGGCCTGTGTGCCTGAGGCTTATGTGCCTGTGGCCCGCAGCTTCTGCTATTCCCTCACAGCAGTTGGCAGTTGTGGGGACATGGACAGTCCCACAGTATATGCACACACCAGCACACACCCATCCCTCGTCCCTGTCATTGATGAATGCTCCATCACCCCGTGAAATATTTGTGGGACAACTGCCTTGGTCTATCAGGTCAGCCTAGGACTGAGAGTATCTCCCGAGTACCTCATCAAGACACCCCAGATGAGCAGCACTACATAGGCTTCTTTGGTGACTTGAGGTACGCAGCCACGTAGGTACAAAGCACTGAGCAGAGTCCCTTTTTACCCTATTGTACTTGTCCACTTTTGTGCTTCAGGACACCACCTCTGAGAGGAGGTCAGGGACTGTGTTGTCTGTGGCCACTTGCCTGACACACTGACAGGCATGGAAGCGTTTCCATGGCACTCTCACTGGCCAGGGTTTTTCTGATCCTGGCTCACCCCAGGTTCTGTGACCTGAGCACTCCTGACCTTCTCAATGGTGACCAGAGGACTCCCTTGTAGCTCTCATGGCTTCACCTCCAGCTCCACCATGCCCACTGTCCCTGTCATACAGCATTGTCATGGTGTGTCCACACCATGTGATGTTTCCTTGAGGGTTGAAATAAGCTTTCCCACTCACATACACAGTCTGCTTTCCTGTAGCCTGACATCTGTTCTGAGTGTGCTCTCTCCAGGACTCCTTGGTAGAAATCGTGTCTCAACTCTCCTTGTGAGAGCCTGAAGTAGTGTTAATAGGCGTCTCTCATTAACAGATGACATACCAAAAAGGAAGGTGGCTAATGTGTTTAGGCCTCCCTCCCCGGATGTGCTGGCGTATCTGGACTTCAGTGTGTCGACTACAGGAATCTTAGCAGGCGTGAAGGTGGGTCCTTTGATTGTAGCTCCTGCTGCTTTGGCCCTGGACACAGGGGTGGGTAGAAAGGGTGTTGGGTGCGGGTGTGTACAGGCTCTTCCTCTCACCCAGAGCCTATATCAACAATGTTGTTCCTTAAAGTTTGTGTTTAATATCAGTAAACTCAAAGGTGGGTTAGCCTGAGAACAGTGCGTATTTTGATGTTTTATGGTAATGCCTGAACTGTCAGATTTATGGCTTACTTGCCTTGAGGAGCAGGTGGCTTTGATGAGTCCCTGTACTCTGCACATTAGCAGGAGCCAAGCGCTTCATTAAAATACTGTATTATCCTGAAATCTCATGTAGATTTTTAATGTCCTGTTTCCTGGGTATTATTTGGTTTATGTGGGGTTGTGAGCCAGTCATTCTTTAAGGAAGTAAATTTGTCTGGCCACCATGGACAAGGGCACTGTTGTTAATCCCTTTCTTCCTGCACATCACTGAACAGACCTTGTATTTTACCCCCTAAGATGTCACACGCAGCCACAAGTGCCTTGTGCCGCTCCATAAAGCTGCAGTGTGAGCTGTATCCCTCGAGGCAGATTGCCATCTGCCTTGACCCCTACTGTGGCCTTGGCTTCGCCCTGTGGTGTCTGTGCAGGTGAGTGGAGGTAGTGTGTGCAGGTGAGTGTTCAGATAGAGTGTGTGTGCAGGTGAATGGAGGTAGAGTACAGATAGTACAGGTGAGTGGAGGTAGTGTGTGCAGGTGAGTGTTCAGATAGAGTGTGCGTGCAGGTGAATGGAGGTAGAGTACAGATAGTACAGGTGAGTGGAGGTAATGTGTGCAGGTGAGTGTTCAGATAGAGTGTGTGTGCAGGTGAATGGAGGTAGAGTACAGATAGTACAGGTGAGTGGAGGTAGTGTGTGCAGGTGAGTGTTCAGATAGAGTGTGTGTGCAGGTGAATGGAGGTAGAGTACAGATAGTACAGGTGAGTGGAGGTAATGTGTGCAGGTGAGTGTTCAGATAGAGTGTGTGTGCAGGTGAATGGAGGTAGAGTACAGATAGTACAGGTGAGTGGAGGTAATGTGTGCAGGTGAGTGTTCAGATAGAGTGTGTGTGCAGGTGAATGAGGTAGAGTACAGATAGTACAGGTGAGTGGAGGTAATGTGTGCAGGTGAGTGTTCAGATAGAGTGTGTGTGCAGGTGAATGGAGGTAGAGTACAGATAGTACAGGTGGGTGGAGGTAGTGTGTGCAGGTGAGTGTTCAGATAGAGTGTGTGTGCAGGTGAATGGAGGTAGAGTACAGATGGTACAGGTGGGTGGAGGTAGAGTGTGCATATAACGTGCAGCTGAGTGTGCTGGTAAAATATACAGGTGAGTGGAGGTAGAGTGTGCAGGTGAGTGTTCAGATAGAGTGTGTGTACAGGTGAATGGAGGTAGAGTACAGATAGTATACAGGTGAGTGGAGGTAGAGTGCATATAATGTGCAGGTGAGTGTGCTGGTAGAATATACAGGTGAGTGGAGGTAGAATTTGCAAGTGAGTGGAGGTAAAGATAGGTGAGTGTGCAAGTGAGTGTTCAGGTAGAGTATACAGGTAAGTGTGCAAGTAAGTGGAGGTAAAGAGTACAGATGAGTGTGCAGGTGCATGTAGGAAAAATATGCCGGTAAGTTTGCAGGTACAGTGTGCAGGTTAGTGGAGGAAGTGTGTGCAGGTAAAGTGTGCAGGTAGAGTGTATAGGAGTGTGGGAAGAGTGCAGGTGAGTGTAGAGGAAGTGGGCTGGTGAGTGCAGGTACCCCTGCTGCTGTGCCCACCCACCTCCTTGATTGGAATTGCATGTAGCTCTCGAGAACCTGAACATTCTAAGATGCATCTTTGAGGCAGGGAAGTCAAAGATACACATGTGAGTAGGTTTGTTTGAGGGAAGGGTGGGTTTGAGTCTGGATCTGAAATTAAGTAAAAGAGTAAAAAATACATTTTTTGTTAAATGCAAACATTATCCATTACTAGTAATTGGGAAGAGATGACTTAATTCCATCAAATACTAGGAAGTAGCAACAGGTCTTTAGAATTAGAACACCAAGTCCCCAGCCATCAGACCCTGTTCCTGACTGTAACTCTGGATCCTTATGAAGTGCTGGAAGAAAACCAGCACTCCCTATGCATTGTACCCCTATCCCCACAGCATGTTTTTCACTGAAACCCTCACTGGACATTAGGGAGAATTGTCCCTTGTTCTATCCTTGAAAAAAAGAAAGAGGCGGTCATGCCAGGCCTTTTGGGCGCAGGCAGGCAAGGCATCTGGGCTGCACAGATGCCACACCTGGGCAGAGCAGCTGTAGCAGATTTGACCCTTCGTGGCCCCCACAGTGTCTACTCTGGACACCAGTCTGTGCTGGTGCCTCCACTGGAGCTGGAGAGCAATGTGTCCCTGTGGCTGTCAGCTGTGAGCCAGTACAAGGCCCGCATCACCTTCTGCTCCTACTCAGTGATGGAGATGTGCACCAAGGGCCTCGGCGCACAGACAGGTGTCCTCAGGGTGAGTGTTTCTGTACCTGCTCTCAATTTACTGTCCTGCATCCCTCCTCAGGAAGTGCCCAGACCAAGGGTTCCTAGGTTGGCTCTAAACCAGGCCACTGGAACCTAAAAAAAGACTCCCAACACAGGTCCAAGCAGTTTGTGGAAACAGAGAAAACCCTTACTGGGCATTGAGTCATGCTGGCTTCATGTCCCTTCCCGGCACCTACCCTGCTGGGAGCTCCTCCTTCACCTCCCCACCACACCTATGCAGGTGGTTGCTCCCTTCATCCGCACACCCATGTGGCAGGAGATAAGAGTGTGGGGCGGGCTGGGGTGTGGGATTGGCTTAGGGCCGGTACATGGTGGGGGGTGGGGGGAAGCCTGTGGAGGGGCAGGTCTGACACTAGCTCTGGGTGCATGTTGGAGGCCTCAGGATCCTTGAGGACCTGGGGCAGGAGCTGGGGGAGCCCTGTGGAGGAGCTGTGGCCAGATGAGCAGAAGGGCTGGTATGGATGTGGAGCAGATGGGTACCCTCTAGCGCTTCCTTCCATACTTAGAATTTTGTAGAATGCAACCAAGGCAGAGGATGTAGGGTCTATGTTTAGGTCACACATGGGTCCCCTCAGAAGCTTCCTAAAACAGTACTCAGAGCCTGTCTCACCCTGCTTCCTCCCAACAGATGAAGGGGGTGAACCTGTCATGTGTGCGCACGTGCATGGTGGTTGCTGAGGAGCGGCCCCGGATTGCGCTGACACAGTCCTTCTCCAAGCTGTTCAAGGACCTGGGCCTGCCCGCTCGCGCAGTGAGCACTACGTTTGGGTGCAGGGTCAATGTGGCCATCTGCCTCCAGGTAAGGTGGCTGGGCTGGGCACCCGAAACGGACAGTTTTTTAATCATTGCTGTTCATTGTTATGCTGGCCACATCCATTTCTCATTCTCTGAGCCTTTAAAGTTTCATTTCCAGATCGTTTATCTTGGAGAGCTGTGAGGGTTCTGTTTTAAAAGATACTCTATTCTCTTCATGAACAAGACTTATTTGGAAAAAAACAAATTGTTTTTCAACAGTGATTATTTCTTACCTAGAAGAATTTATCTAAGTTGGATAAAATATGCAGTTGATTTTTTAAAACAACAATAACCATTGTTTTAAGACATCTAGCAGTTTTAAATGGAAACATTAATGTGATAATTTGTATTGCCCGTAACCCATATTTGAGACATTAAGATTGTACTTATTAAAAGAAAACATGACATTTTAGAAATTGAACAGCTAACTTCAGTGCTGTTCACTGCTTCTTCAGGTGACTCCGATTATTTTCCAGAGTTTTTACTAGTATCTCAATTTCACTTCTTTCTAAAAATATACTAAATGCCTGCGCACCTATATAGACAAGACTTGGAGGAAAACGTAGCATCAGAACCAGAGCCGGGCCCCGGGGTGGAGCTGTTTTCTTGTTTCTGGAGTCTTGGCTCAGCTTGGCCCTCATCTCAGAGCACTCCTGTCACGGGCCATCATCCTTTCCCCAGCTGATGTCCTCTCAACCATGAAAAGACTGCTGACCACTCCAGGCCTCAGACCTTTGCCATGTGGCAGGAGGAGGTGGGCTGGGGTGCCCTCCTCACACCCTTCCTATTGTAGGAAGTAGGACTGAGCATCAGGCTGTTGGTGTGTAGTCAACGGCTGTAAGTGAAGGTGTGCCCTCCTTACTCAATATTTGAAGGCTATCTCCTCTGTTTGTTGGCTTGTGGGATGCCATGTGTGATTGCAGAAATCTTAATGAGATAATCGCATTTGCCCTTTGAGATGCAGTGATGCATTTTGCTGTCTCTTACCGTGTGTTTCTCACGTGGCCTGTTGCTTTCTGTTTGTCTCCTGTGGCCGTCTCCTCCTGTCTCACTCTGCTGGCCTCCTTTGCCTCTGTCAGCCCAACAGGCTGGGAAAGCTGGCTGAGCAGGTACGACCTTGACCTTGACTTCGAGGTGCCTCTGTGCTTTCCCCCATGAGATCATGTGGCCTTCTCCTCAACTCTAGACAAATATGTGTTTCTTTTGCTGTCTGACTTTGCCCACGGTGGATATTATTTTACATATTATAAAAGCTCCTTTGTAATAAAATTTAAGAGCAAAAATGTTTTCAAAAGAATTTAACATTTATAGCATTACCTGTGGAGGGAAGGGCTGTTGAATCTCAATGAAGCAGTTTTTGTTAACGTTGTTTGGGATCTTCAGAGAGTGCTGTTGAGCAGAGTGTCCATTTAACTTGATGTTCCTCATCTAACAAAGTGGAACATAACATCCTTCACTCAGGATCCAAGTGTCAGAGGTAAGGAAAATGAAGATATCACTCCACTGACCCTGATTGAGCCTCTGCTGTCTTCAGCCCTCAGTAGAATGAAGTTGGCTGGAGAGAGGCCAGGCCTGACTGATGGCTGGGTGCAAATGCCCCCAAATCCTATGGTGGTGTTTTTACCATAACATAGAGACCAGCTGTTAGAACTGAATGTAAGATTGAATACACTCTGGCATATTCGTTCAGTGTTACTGGTGTTTCAGTCGATGCTATCAAGCCATGTAGATGGATGCAAAGCATCATTGTTCCTGGGCAGGCTCCCTGCTGGAGCAGAGCTGCTGCCTTCCTGGCGGCGGGGAGGAGCTGTTAGGTGGCTGTGCCATGTATATGCAGACGTGCTGCTCTCCTTCCAGGGCACGGCTGGCCCGGACCCCACAACGGTCTACGTGGACATGAGGGCGCTGCGCCACGACAGGTAACAGCCATCAACAACTCTGGTGAAGGTGTGCGGCTGGGTCTGCCCTTACTGGACCTCCCTGCGGCCGGCCAAGCTCTACTAGGGGAGCCTGGGTCCCCCTCTGCGTCCCTGTGTCTTCACGTCTCAGTCAGTGTCCCTTTATCTGTCATTCCCATGACCAGGAAGGGTGATAGGAGTGACCAAACATTTGACATTTAGCTTTTTATAGGGTTGAGGACAAGTAAACCAACTAACGGCAAGGACTTTTTTTACACAATACCATTTGAAGGCAGGTCTTAGTTTTTATATCAGTAAACGTGTGCTGAGGGCCACAGTATATGTCTGTGGGTCCAGGTTCTTCCCAGCTTTGAAATCAGATCCCAGTCTGGGCCCTCAAATGTGACCATGCCACAGCTTACGGTAAACAGTGGTAGAGATTACTGTGGACAGGCCAGCTGGTCGGGGAAGGTCCGAAAGAAACCTGGAACAGGCTCCTGCTCTGAACCATGCCAGGTGAGCCAGGTACGTAGAGGGCATGTCCTCTGTGGCACCTGAAATCACTGTTCCAAGGTCACAACAGGGTTGTGTGACAGGCTAAAATCTTGGCTGTTGTCAACAGACTGACCATCATAGTGATAATTTCTGATTATTTTATGAGTTGCCATTTTAGAGATTGTTACCTGTGTGGTAAATTTTATCCTGATAATTTTCCTATTTTAATTTTTAGGGTACGTTTGGTAGAACGGGGTTCTCCGCACAGTCTGCCATTGACGGAGTCTGGAAAGGTAGTGGAAGCTGGAGTTCTGATGAATACAGATGGTCGGGCTGGGCTGTTTCAGGAGGCCTCCTCCTCACTACAAACATACACAAGGACTAGGTTAAGTCTTAAGTACACATTTGAGCATAAAACCAAGAAAGGAGGACTTCAGGCACAGAAACATGGAAGGAACTCCCACTGTTGGGGCTTGAGGCTGCTGGGCCCTTGGGTCAGGGCCCGATGTCTTCACACAGTCTTGGAGCAAGGGCCAGCTCAGCCACACAGCTCTGCTCCTGGCTCAGGTGACAGCCAGGAACAGGGGTTGGGAGGGGTGAGGGTGGGAAGGGTGAGACAACCTGAGGGTGCCCAGGTTAAAACTGTGAGCGCTGTGAAATGGGTCAGCACACACAGACCCAGGAGAACAGGTGTCCTCAGAACCAGGGGAGGTTTGAAGGAAGGAAGAAACCCCACATGAAAATGAAAATGTGATCTAGCAGCTGCCCTGTGTCATGGCCAGGAGACAGCAGGATAGCGGGCAGGGCCAAATGCTCAGCATGGCCAGGAACAAGCAGCCCCCAACTCACACAGCCTAGAGTGCCACCTGACTCTGCTCACACAGTCCCAAGGCCATAGCCACCCTTAGGGAGGCAGCGAGGTGCCTGGACAGGAGCCCAGGTGTCTGTACTAGGGAAGAGGAGGTGTAGCCACAGGGGCCCAGGGCAGAGGGCTCTGCTGGTCAAACGTTCTGGGGAGGGAGCATGGCCACAGGGAGAGTAGCGTAGCTAGAGCTGAGCTGGGGGAAGAGGAGGAGGAATGAGTGAACTCACATGCAGGTGCAAGGCCTTGGAAGCACACCTCCCACGTGCCTGTCTTTAGTGTCACTCAGAGGGAACCACCTGAGAGGTGCATATGGCAGTGACCTCCCCTTTCTGAGCACATTGCTGGAGTGCATACTCAGTGAATGGCTTTGCTTTATCCTTTTGTATACTCAGCATATTTTTCCTGTGTCTCAAAACAGTTCTTTTTTGCCTTTCATATTTTATCATTTATGGTAGTTCCATCATTGTTTTAATCATCCCCCTCTCTTCTGATGGACTTTTTTCCTTCCTATTTTGCTGTTACAATGACTTTTTCCTGATGGATTTGTGTTCTGGAAGGAGCTCTGGCTTCAGGGTTCAGGTGGGCCCCATGGAGAGAGGTCTTAGACTCTAGCAGCATCCAGGAAGACAGGACTGTCCCACAAGACAGCGTGTGGCAAGGGCTCTATGACGGTGAGAAGAGAGGAGGGCCTAGTACTGACTGTGGACAACAGCCTACACTCAACCTTCCTGCGGCCCCTTGTCCCTCCCCACCTGCCGAGAGGACCTCATTGTCATCTCCCGTTTTGTATGTGAGGAAACTGAGGACAGAACAGGTGACCATGCCAACAGCACCCACATGGTCTGAGCTGAGCCCATGTCTCCCCAGGACTGAGTGTGAGGGGTCCCCTGACCTGAGGCACCCTACCATGGTTCCTGGGTAAGAGCTGGTGCTTCTGTCTGTCCTGAGTCAACACAGAGCAGGTGACCAGTGGTTGGACTGAGTCATAGGCAGGAAGGGCTCTTCAAGGTTAGCATTCCGGCCCAGAACTAGGAGGCTTGATGAAGCTCATGGACAGAGCCCTTGCATGGCTGGGCTGGGACACAGCTGAGTGGTGGAGCTGGATGGCTCTCTGCACTTGTGTGCTCCCAGGAGAGGCAGGTGGTCCTCGAGTGGCCTTGAAAGATCTCAGGTAGAGCAGGGCTTACATAGACCTACTCTGCCCCTCATGACATTCAAACTAGGGTCTATTCTTAGGAACTGGGGTAATTTTGCTAAGATTCACATATATTTTTTATCTATTCAAGTCTGTTATTTCTGTTCACATTCAAATTTAGGTTGGCTTTAAGCCTCCTGATCACTTACATGTGCACATCACGTCGTTTGGATCAGCTTCTGAAGGCTGTTTTTAATGTCATTGAATCAGTCTCATATTGTCTTTGACATGGTCACGGTTCTCCTTCCAGATCCTTCCTGGAGTGAAAGTCATCATTGCGCACACTGAGACCAAAGGGCCCCTTGGAGACTCGCATCTGGGAGAGGTGAGGCTTGAGAGAACCGGAGGTGAGGCTGGGGAGTTCGGTTCTGGAGTTTCATTCACCTTAGTTTCATGTGCCCCAGATTGGGAATTCTACACCCTTTGGGGAATCTGCCAAGCTATTTGGTCCTTTCCTGCCTAGGCACATTTGTGTTTTGTATCCAGTACCTGTGTAGGATTTTGGGGTCCCATACGATGAGTCCCCACTCTGGGTTCCCTACCAACAGGGAAACCTTTAGTTTTGTAGGTACTGGGAGGCCCCAGGAGCCACATATGAACCAGCAGTGTAGAGAAAGCAGCTGTCCCTTAAAACACAGTTCCTGCACCGAGCCGGGAGCCATAGCCCCGAGGGGCTGTCATGGCACAGACACCGAGGCGGGGGGCAGGGGTCTTCTACTGAGGACACGTTCCCTGGACACACACAGACTGTGCAGGAATCATTGTGTTGACATAATGCATCCAGCATAACTTGGGACAGGTAGGACTTACTACCAGAGGCCAAGGTGGCAGGGAGAGCACAGATCACAGCCTGAGGGCCCAGGTTGGTCCTTTTATGTTGGGAACGGTCTTGTGCTCCCAGTCCTAAGCTCTAGTAACATGCCATGGGACCAGTGTTCTGGCACCTGGTGGGCACAAGGACCCTGGTGGTCTCTGATGTGAACAACCTTTGGGATCCTTATGGTGGCACTTGAGTACTGTAGTTATATACCTGGAACGAGGGTGTGAGTGAGCCTGGTGTTCTTCCAGGGGTTACTCAATGTCCTAATGGGAAAATGTGCCAGTCCCAGGGTTGGGTGGGGTTGGTGTGGGGTCTCCCCTTCTTGTCAGCTGGACCCAGGCCTGTTAGAGCAAGTTTGTATCCCCAACATGGTCATGGAGGGTGTGTGCTAAGCTGGAACCCCACCTCTTATGGCAGAAGGCCCTGTCAGCTGACCTGTCTCCTCTTAGGATACTGCCTTATGGGGATGTCTAGAGTAAGGTGCTCAGTCTGGGGAGCTGACTGTGGATCCTGGATGGGCCCTGAATTTAGAAGAACACCCTGAGGGGCCCGGTGACACAGGGTACTGCTGGCCTGTGTGCCAGATATATATAAACTCACACATACGCGGGTAAGTCCGGTGTAGGGCTTGCCTACCCAGTGAGCCTCACTCCATCACTTGTCCCAGTGTGGACATGGCCATTGCTTCCTGTCCTTATTAACAACAGAAGTTTGATGTGAGGAGTGGGAGTCACCCCCGTGAGCTCTTTCACATTGCAGAGTCCTGAAGAGGAACACTCCATTCGAAGGAGAGAAAAATGACATGTTTACTTTCTGTACCTGTAATTTTAACTTAGTTCACAGGGTAAGAGACTGAAAATGCTCCTGCCTTTGTGCACTGTTTCCTTAAATTCTCTTGGCGAGTGGATGTCTCATGACAGAATCTGTGCTCAGCTCTTTCTTGTCCTTTGGGCCCCACAGATCTGGGTTAGCAGCCCCCACAATGCCACAGGCTACTACACGGTCCATGGAGAGGAAGCACTTCACGCTGACCACTTCAGTGCCCGACTGAGCTTTGGAGACACCCAGACCATTTGGGCAAGGACTGGCTACTTAGGCTTCCTTCGGAGAACGGAACTCACTGATGCCAGTGGAGGTTAGGGGTTACAGTGATGCCCCTGTCCGCGCTGTTGGGGGACGGCTCTGTCCACAGTCCACAGGGTCTGCTGCTGCAGCTCATGAGCCTGACAGGCACGTGCAGCAGCTCAGGGATTTCTGCTGACCAACCACCCCCTTTGCAAGGAGCCTATGTCTTTGGGTGTGAGGTGAAGGATGTGCTCTGGCAATGGTGTTCTCTGAAAATTACTGTTTTTCCCTTTGTGACACCTTCACTGTCCTTGGACCCTCAAGCTCTGCTGAGGATGTGGGGTGTGTTGGTGACAGAGCTGTTAGGTCCCCCCAGTCAGAGCCACCTGCATGTTTCACCAGCCATGTGTGGCACCCTCCCCACACACAACCCCTCAAAGTTGCAAAGTCCCTTAGGCCCTAGCAGGCTGGCCAGATCAAGTCAGAACTTTTGGTAGCCCCTGTAGATGCTGTTTTGTTTCCAGAAATAGTAAGTACTATTTTTAAGTATATATTCACCCATTGATGTACTTCTGAATCGAGGGGACGGCACCTTCATCAGGCTCTGCTGCATCTCACCCATTAGTGGGCTCAGTTTTCACGTGATGTTGGAATAGCCAGCTCCCTGTCCCAGAGAGCCCACGTCAGGCTGACACAGATTCATGGAGGGTGCCCAGATTGCACTGTGCCTTTCTGAGGTGTGTGAACTGTGCCCTTCACAGAGCGACATGATGCGCTGTATGTGGTTGGGTCTCTGGATGAAACGTTGGAGCTGAGAGGCATGCGGTACCACCCCATTGACATCGAGACATCCGTGATCAGAGCACACAGGAGCATCGCTGAATGGTAAGAGCCCAGAGAAGGGTAAGGCCTGCCCAGCCCTCCTTTGGGGCAGAGCTAGGGACTGTGGGCCTTCTACCTGGTCACCTTGGTTCCAGCAGATCCTGTCTACCAGGCACATGCTGGCAAAGCTTGCCTTTTCAGGAGCTGACCCCAGGCCTGTCCACACATGCTCTAGGAAACATGCACCAGAGACCCCTTGCTCTCCACAGTTGTTCTAAAGTAGTTTCTGCTTTTTATCCTTACCCGAGTACATTTTTCTATTTTTTGTTCAGATAGAGTGGGAGAGAGAGAGAGAGAGAGAGGGAGGGAGGGAGGGAGAGAGAGAGAGAGAGAAAGAGAGAGAGAGAGAGAGAAAGAGAAAGAAACATCGATGTGAAAGGGACACATCGAGTGTTCGCCACCTGCACGACCCAACCAGGGCTGGGGACAAACTGCAACCGAGGTACGTGCCCTTAGCGGAAACCGAACCCGGGTCTCTCTGGACCGCAGGCCGACGCTCTAACCACTGAGCCAAACCGGCCAGGGCAGTAGTTTCTGTTTTTAATGCAAATTTTCTCATTTAAATGGTTGTGATTCATAATTTCTTCACTTTGTAGGGAGCTTGCATTGGGACAGGTTCAGCTTTCAACATCAGATAATGAATGCTCCTGATTTTTAGCAAGAACTTTAATTAGAAAGCAGTTTAAGCTAATCTTCTGATTGTGAGTGATGTTCAGCAGCAGTACAGTGTCTTTTCACTCTCCTTTGTTTGGCACTATTTCCCATGTATCTGTTGGCCCTCAGAAGCTGATGTCCATGCCCTGTGATGCCATCTATCTTCTCTCTGCAGTGCCGTGTTCACCTGGACCAACCTGCTAGTGGTGGTAGTGGAGCTGGACGGGCTGGAGCAGGATGCACTGGACCTGGTGGCCCTGGTGACGAATGTGGTGCTGGAAGAGCATCACCTGGTAGTAGGTGTGGTGGTCATTGTCGACCCAGGCGTGATCCCCATCAACTCTCGGGGTGAGAAGCAACGCATGCACTTGCGTGATGGCTTCCTGGCTGACCAGCTGGACCCAATCTATGTTGCCTACAACATGTGAGCACTGCTTACCAGCCCCAGGGTTCTGACCGGTGTAACCCAGGTTTCCAGGAGTTGGAACCTAGTGAAGGTGTTGGAACATGTGAAGACACTGCAGTGTCTATAGCCACCAGGACAAAGGACTGATTGCAGTCTTCATGGAATATTGCACCCCTTGCCCTACTTATACAAATTTGTATCAAAATTCCCCAAATGTCATTTGATAAGCCATTCCTGAATTACTTGAAGAAATGTTTTTAATCTTCAAGAACATTTACAAAAACATAAATGTCAATATTTTAACAGGGTGACTGGGAAAGGAAATGAAACGCCTGGCATGGGTGCTGTGAAGAACTGCAGATGTGCAATTTGTTCTCTACTGTATTGCAAGTTTGCACTTTCTAGATTAAAAATATAGTTCTTGACTTTAAAAATTCAATTATTTATTCCCACTTCAAATGACAAGTTCACATGTAGAACTTAAGCTAGAAAGAACTTGTGGCCCCAGTACAGCTGATTCACTTTGGTTTCACAGGGAGGAACAGAGCCCAAAAAGGCTGATGGAAGTCCTGCCTACCTGGCCCCCCTGCTCTTGGATCCCAGACCAGGCATTTTAGTTACAATACTTCCTCTCTTCCAGTTTCTTTATTGAAACAATTGTGTCCGATTGTCCATCTGGGGCTGTCAAGGTAGATGCTGTTTCAGAAAGATAAACCAATATTTAGGTTTAAACCACTTTCCTAGGTTTGTAACTTAATGCTGTTAAAACTCTTGTTTTCATAACATCACGATATGCATTCTTCTCAATACTTGGAAGTATACTGAATTATTATTTTTATTCTGAATCAAAAGATTTGAAAGCACTGGTGACAGCAGCTGAGGTTTACATGTCCTCAGTGCTGCTTGCAGTGCAGCTGAGCTGTGGGGAGGGCCTTGCCCCATGCTGAGTAGATGTGGTCACCCTCACCCTGGCTTTCACATTTTGAGTTACATGCCTATAAAGTTGTCCAAACCATATTCAGTTATGACTAAACTGAGTAATCTAATATTATAGTAAACCTAAATCAAAGAGAATATAAAATCCATTAGAAACTTCTAAGAATTTGAAGTGAAGCTCAAATCTAAGACAGAGTATTTTTATATAGCTAATAAAGAGTATGTTATGAAGTTGTTGGGTTTTGGGGGGAACAGAGGATGGGAAAGGTTATGAATCATGCATGCTTCATAGAAACCACTAGGTTTTTCTGGAATTTGCCTGAATCAGTGCCTAACAAAGCTGTTACTAATTCTCTACCATTTTAAATTCTCCACCAAATAGTTCTGGCTAAGTAGGCGGACTCTCACATCTTAACTCTTATTTGGCTACTAATAGCGGGTGCATTATAGCTTTGTTTGCCTGTGGTGGTGGACTGCAGTTAGTATGTTGCAACATGCTGGAATTGTATGATCTATTGTAATTATGTACATAATCTGTGTAATTTATTGTTTGACATACAGATAACAGATATTCCTTATAATAGAATGGCCGGCAGGGGAAAAACTACCTAACCCTAATCTTAATGTTGTAGTTTTGTAGCAAATATTGTAAAACTTTTGTATTGAAAGGTCAGTGGCAGTAAGACAAGGTGTCTTGTAAATTAAGACTTTGAGAAGCACATTAAAATGTTTTAAAGTTATACTCTGGGAATTCTGTATATCACACTAAAAGATTTTTATATCATAATGTTAATAAAAGTTATTGACTTTGTAATACTGCATTTTGAAATGTGTGAAAAGGTTTTTAAAATTACCCCAAATAGGATGTACTTTATTAAAGCATTCCTTTTTTTGACTATAAAGGCATATATGCTTACAGCATAAAATATACAAAGCACATTAAAGTGTAAAAAAGAAAATCTATACTCCTACCTCTGAGTAATATAGCAGCATTAGTAGTTGACGTAAATCCTTTTGGGGATTTATTTTTTTCCCTTTAAAAATTTTTCCAAAATTAGGATCATATACTTTTATGATCAGCTTTTGTACTTAATAAATTTCAGACTTTTCAATCTATTACATATATTCTTCTACATGTTTTAATGACTGTATCATATAGGTGTCATGACTAAAGGTAGCTTTTACTCAATTGCTGTTGTCCATCATAGTTCTTCCAACAGTGCTGCAGTGAACCTCCTCACAGATGTGTGTGTGCACTTCTGTGGTTACAATTACTGCCTCAAGCTTAGCTCCTATAGGTGAAGTGGGTGGGTCAGAGTTCATGCCAGGTTTGAAGCTTAGGGTGCTCACTGCCCTGGTTTCCCTGCATCCAGCTTTGCTTTTTGGTTTAATGAGAATCTATTTACACAAGCCTGTGAGATATTTAGGAAGGACCCTGTGGAGTTTTCCAAGGGCAGTGCAAAGTGAGAAACTGAGAGGTTATTATTAGTTCTAAGTGAAGTATAGGATACCTTATTCCCCAGATTCTCCAAGTGACTGAAAAGGCCAAATATCATGAATGTTCATTACAGATACCACTTAAAATAAAAAGTTGAAAAAGGACCATAAGGGACCAGATGATGCTTTGAGCTAAAGAGGGTGTGTAGATGCACTGTCACCCATTGCCACCCCCAGCCACAGTGAGCTGGACTTCCAGGTGGGTACACTTAGATGCTACAATGGGCTCCAGATAGAGAGCAGGAGAATGAAGGCCACCTATAGGCTCTTGTTGCATGCTGATAGAAAGGGATACAAATTCAAAAACAAGCAATGTCTAGCATTCACTTCATATTAAAAAGTAAGGAAAGAAGCCCTGGCTTGTTTGGTTCAGCAGTTAGAGCACTGGCCCTTGGACCCGAGTCAGAGGTTTGATTCAGGTCAAGGGCACGTACCTTGGTTGTGGTTTGGCCTGATTGGGGTCGTGCAGGAGGCATCCAATGTGTCTCTCTCACATTAATGTTTTTCTCTCTCTTTCTCCCCCTCTCACTTTATTTGAAGATAAATGGAAAAGTATCCTCAGGTGAAGGTTTAAAAAAAGAGTAGAGAAAGATCAACTTCTGGCACGACAGCTTGAGAAGCTTTATGGGCATGCTAGCCAATATAACTGGTGAAAATTGTTAGAAAACCAGTCACTTAAAACCTTTGGAAATGGTCCTTAGGGCATATAGCAAATGAAAAACATCTGTGCATGAAAGTTCACTAAGAAGGGCAAAAGTCTCTTATTTGAACTAAGACTGATCTCCTGGGAGATCTCTTCCATCCAGCCTCCACTCATGGAATGCAGCCTCCCTTGGATGAAGTGCCACTGAGAATACAGGGGCCCTGAATGCCCTTGTCCAGCTCATAGTTGGTGGTTCCGTGCCAGGAGATGCAAACTCAGACCTCTGGCTACTGCCCCCCACAACACTTTAGGGGCACTCAGCACCTAAAATGGCTTTCACTCAGAGATTCCTTGGTCTAACAAGAGAGAAACAACCTGTCACTTGCAAGGGAACTCCAGTAAATTGACAGCTGAATTCTTACCGTCAATAATGGAAACCAGCAGGATAACATTGAAAGAACTCAAACAAAAGCTCAGAATTGGCTCTGGCCAGTTTGCTCAGTGGTTAGAGTGTTGGCCCATGGACCAGAGTCACAGGTTTGATTTGGGTCAAGGGTCTGTACCTCAGTTGTGGTTCATCCCCAGTCCTGGTCAGTGTTGTGTGGGAGGCAACCAGTCAATGTGTCACTCTTGCATTGATGTTTCTCTTTCTCTCTCTCTGCCCCTCCCACTCTATCTGAAATAAACAGAAAAATATCCTCAGGTGAGGATTAAAAAACAAACAAACTCAGAATTGTATAGCCAGCAAAGCTATTTTCAAAAGTGGAAGCATAATACATTCCCAGGTAAAAAACTGAATTTGTTGCTAGCTAACCTGCATTATCAGAAATACTAAAGTCCTTCCCACTGAAAGCAAATGACCTCAGATGATGATTTCTTTTCACATGAAAAACAAAGAGCACTGGTAAAGATAAAGGTAATTATAAGACTATATAAATGCATTTTTGCCTTAATGATTTAAAGTAATATGGCCCTGGCCGGTTTGGCTCAGTGGTAGAGTATCAGCCTGTGGACCAGTGAGTCACGGGTTCAATTCCAGCCAAGGGCATGTACCTCAGTTGCAGTTTGTCCCTGGCCCTGGTTGGGGTTGTACAGGAGGCAACCAGTTGATGTGTCTCTCCCACATTGATGCTTCTCCCCCCTCCCCACTTTCTCTCCCTCCCACTCTATCTGAAAATAAATAGAAAAATATCCTCAGGTAAGCATTAAAAAAAACAAAACAACACAAAGTACTATGTATGTTATGTATTATTGGTCTTATACATATAGAAATGTATGTGTAATATTTTTGCCAGTAACAGCACAAAAGCAGTGGGTAAGAGGAAAGCTATATTAAGCCAACTTACAAATTGTAAAGTAATAATTATAACAATGTATTATTGGGTTTGTAACAACAGATGTAACATGTATAACAGTATCATAAAAAGGAGGGAAATGAAATAGAGACGTAGGAATAACATTCCTATATCTCACTGGAATTAAGCTAGTACCTCTAATTCTGATAAGATGTATATGGTAAACCCTAAAACAGCCTGTGGACCAGAAAATATCATTAAGAAATCTAAATGCTTCGTTAGAAAATATTCACTTACTGCTTAAGAGCATCAGCCCGCAGAGCAGAGGTGTGGGTACGATTCCAGCCAAGGGCACGTACCTCAGTTATGGTTCCTCGGTTATGGTTTGTCCCCAGCCCTGGTTGGGGTCATGCGGGAGGCAACCAGTCAATATCTGTCTGTCTCTCTGTTTCTCTCTCTCTCCTTCCCCCTTCCTTCCTCCCTCCCTATCCCACTCTATCTGAAGATATTTAGAAAAATATCTTTGGGTGAGGATTTAAAAAAAAAAGTTACTAGAAGCGATTAAGAGGGACATTTTATAATGATAAAAGGATCAATCAATCAGGAAGACCTAATAATTTTATATATATATATATATATATATATATATACCTAACAATAGAACACCAACAACGTACATGGAGCAAAAACAGACGGAAATGAAGGGATGACAACTGGAGACTTCAATGCCCCACTTTCTATAATTTGGATAGAATTACTAGACAGAAGTATACTTGGAACTAATATAAGATATTAAATATAAACTATAATTGAAAAATAAATTTAAAATAAAAAAACTTAGGCAGATCAATAAGGAAACAGAGGACCTAAACAAAACTAAACCAACTAGATCGAACATATCTATAAAACAATTCACCCAAGAACAACAGAATATACATTTTTATCAAGTACATATGGAACATTCTCTAGGCTAGGCCATATGCTAAGAAATAAACCTGAATAAATTTCAAACAATAAAAATAATACAAAGTGTATTTTTTACCACAATGGAATAAAATTAGGAATCTGAAAAAGAATTGAGAAACTGAAAAATATGTGGAGATGGAGCAACACATTCCTAAATAACCAATGAATCGAAGAACTCAAAAGGGAAATCAAGATAATTTGCATTGGCTATTGGGGCTCATATAAGATAACTGCCATTTAAGCCCCTAATTTTAACTTTTGGTGTTCATCAAAACTGCCTGTTTTTCACTGAATTTGAGTAAATTTGAACTACAAATAAATAAAAACCCTGAAATAACACCAATCAAACCCAGGGGCCCCATGGGACAGAGTTGTGGCCTTCTCAGAGCTTCTTGGGAAGATCCATCAAACTGTTTCCAGGGCCTCAGCTGGTACATGAGGGCTGAAGGGCCCCCTCTTGCCTTGGAGACTAGAGTGAGGTCTGGTGGAGCTACAAGCTCCCAGCCTCACGGAGCTCACTGGGGTGTCATGCTGTGGATTCAAACAGCCTACAAGGAACACATCCAGAGCAGGGCCCGAGGTGGCCTGGGGGAAAGCTCACTTCCCTTGGTGGATGCTGGGAAAAAGGGTCTGCTTAGGACAGGACAAATCCTGGGGAGGGGAAGATCTAGAATTGTGGGTGAGGGAGTCAGCTGGTAGAGGCCCCTGGAACTGACCCCAGGACCAGAGAACCAAGGAGGGCAGGGGTAGCCCTGGCCTACCCAACCTCAATCCCTCTCCCCTTGTTTCCCCTGGGGCCAGGGCAGAGGAGGTCCTTCTTGAAGTCCCTGTGCCTGCTGGGGTTCTCTATGGGGATCCGAGGCCACGTGCTCCCATGCCATGATCATGAGATGAGGATGCCTCCTCTCAGTAACAGTAAAATCTGGTAATTGTGTTGCCCAGACAGCAAGGACAGCAGCACATGATGGGATGGTCCACATGGTCGAGTGGAGGCTGGGTCCCTACCATTGCACTTGTGTGCTAAAGCAAGCAGGCTGTTCTCTGGTGATGAGTGGAAGTGTAGAGACGTAATCTGAAAGCAAGTGGACAAGTACATACACCTCACACACCACAGCACATAGCCAAACCGCCCCCCACCCCTCACCTACCTTTCACTGCTAACCCCTTTGTGCACAGGGCTATGCTTGCCCTTGGGCTGAATCAGACAGACACGGCCCACCCTCTAGGCCTCCCAACCCAGCTCTCCTTCATATTTTCCCCACGTGTCCCACCACTACCTAGGACCAGGTGCATAATCTGCAGGGCCCAACGCACAAGGAAAACGCCAGACCCCTTGTCCTTAAGTTACCCAAAATTTCAAGACAGCAACAGCAGAGTGTTGACCTGAGCATGGGCCCTGGTCTCCCCAGGCTGGCCTGGCTGGCCTGTGTGAAGCGGCAGATGGTGCCCCGGACGTTCACTCATACTGGAGTCCTCCTGAACAGCTCCCAGACGGGAACACTGGCCCCATCTCTCCAGAAATCCCCCGCTGTTGCCCGCTCTGCTCCCGCCCTTCCTGCTGGAAAGAGCCCAGGAGCGCCCCCTGCCCTGCGGATGAGGCCGAGTTCCCTTGGGCCCCTTACCCTCAGCTCTCCCAGCCCTGGGGGCCCTCACTCCCTGCTGTGCCCCCTAACCCTCCCCTGGTTGCGTCCTGTGAGCACCGCGGCGAGCATCTCCGCAGTAACAGGCGCAAGGGGCGTCTCCCCCACAGGGTTCGCGTTTCCTCTGGGTGTTGGTACTGCTGCACCTGTTCGGCGGGGGCTGTCCGGGGGGCCCTGCGGGGCAGATCAGTCCCGCGCGCCCGCCGTGCTGGGGTCTCCCTGGAGGAGCAGCTGGCCCAGCCCGGCCACGTGGGCAACACCCCTGAGGGGCTTCTGAAACGTCAGTCACCACCCAGCCTTCTCCATTGGGTCTGCGGCCGGGACCGAGAGTCCAGCAGGAGCCACTGACCACGCTGGAGCGAACCCGCCAGAGCAGAGACGACGCTCCAGACGCCGGCAAAAGATCGCGGGGGCGGCAGCCCGGTGGTCGGAGCGATAGCCGGAGACCTTAACTCAGACCTGAACACTCCAGCCCACCCGACCCCGTCTCGGATCCCGCCCACATGTGAGTGAGCGGGCCAATCGCAGCTCCCCTCCGTGGTAATTGGCCCAGGGAACAGCACGTGATGCCAACCGGGCCGGAAGTTTCTGGCAGGAGCGAGCCCGCCGACTGAGGAGAGGGAAGGTCGTCCCACCCCGTTCTATCCCGCCCTCTCCGCCCTCCGCGCCCCGCCTCGCTGTCCTCGCCCCTCCTTTCCCCGCCCCGCCCCTGCCCCGCCCCTGCCCCCGCCCCTAGACGCTCGGGCTCGCCCCGCCCCGCCCCCGCCCCTAGACGCTCGGGCTCGCCCCGACCCGCCCCTGACCCCGCCCCCACCCCTAGACGCTCGGGCTCGCCCCGCCCCGCCCCTAGACGCTCGGGCTCGCCCCGCCCCGCCCCGCCCCGCCCGGCCCCGCCCCGCTGAGCCGGCCTCCCTCCAAAGGTTACCGGGTCCGCACCTCCGCACCCAGCCTGGCCTTGGTGAAGGCGGTCTGCAGCCCCGAGAAAAGCCAGGCCCTCTCAACAGTACTCCTTTTCCCAGTTTCGCAGGTATTTTGCTTTTATTTCGTGTTTAACGGCTACGGAGACTTGTCACAATGCTCTTTTAATTTATGCAAATACAAGCGATTAATTGTTTTATGAAGTCTGTGAGGTGGGTAAGATTAATTTGAATTTTCCTGGAAGTGACTTTTAATTATTTGTAACTTGATTATTTGAAACTCGATTTATTTGAATTCGTGGATGCAGAAGCATAAAGTCCAGCTTTCCAAGTGCACTGACTTGAACAGCACAAACAAAAAAGGAATGACATTCACCAACACACCAGACACGTCGGTAGTAACCCATTATCTCACACAGAAGACGAGGCTGAAGACACTAAATTACTTGCAGCGCACTAATCTCCAGAGAGGAGCATCTGAAACCTTGGTCCTGAATCCCACCATCCTCCTGCAAAAAAACGCATGTCCCACAGCTCCAGCAGAACGAGCCCATCAGGAGAATTCCACTGAATGTAGAATTTTGATTCTCAGTTTTGATTAGAGTTCAAGTGTCAGTACCATGCTCTGAGGGCTAGTGGGACAGCATTGTCACACCATCAAACTACTTTATGTTCCATTTGCACTGATGATGAACAAATTTAAGAAATGGCAGCCTTTTCAAAGGGTGGACACAGCTTTGTAGTTTTAAATGTAGGGGAGACTTAAGAAAACCACAAATGTCCAGAGTCCTTTTTGGTAGTCAGTTTTTGTTTTTTCTGGGTTAGGATTCTGAACAGCCATGGCAGCCAGTATAGCATAGGCTTTGTGACTAAGAATTGACTTTCCTACATGATATTACCAGGAGTCCCTGGGATCAGTTAGCTCACATATATGCCTAATACAGCAGAAGTAATGATGGGGACCATTAAAAATAACCCTTGGAAAGAGGTTTTCAAATTTTCATTCACAAAGCAAATCAAGCTTCCTAATTGCTACATCATGGCGGGAAAACTTAGCTCCTACTAGCCGGCAAGCCCTTGCTGTCTGCTTCCTTGTGTGACCTTCACCTCTGTTACAGGAACAGCTCGGCTGCGTTCTCTAGTTCACTCGTGTTCAAAGAACTCGTGGCAGGCGGTGGTAACCATGGCAATGAAGGCCATAAATTCCTGAAAGTCACATTCGCCATCTCCATCGTTGTCCAGTGTTTCCATGACTTTGTCCACAACCTCCTGCTCTTTGATTTCCTAAGAGAGATCAGTCACCCAGCTTGTTTTTAAATGAAATTTAAGGGCATCAAAACATGATTAAAAGTTGGCTGGTTTAAAAAATTTGTATCAGAAACAACGTAAGATATAAAATGCCAAATACCAGAAAGATATCTCCTGTGACCAGGGAACTGTTAACTGGGGGTCTGTGCCTTCTGTACCTTATTTTAGGTCCAGTGGGGCCTGGACTACTTGTAAAGACTGAATGGAACTACCAAGATCTGAAAACCTGCAGGTTGTTATCACTATAATTAAAACAAAACACCTGGGAAAAAAGAATAGCATCTCAATCAGCTGGACATATTGTAAGCAAATGTCTTGAAAGCAAAAAATGAACTTTGTCTCCCCTAAATTTTTCAGTTTCTGTATGTGGAAGTCCCTACAGTGAAGGCTTCCATGCATTTTTATTTTGAAAGTTTTGTTGTTGATGAAGTAACTCTTGGAAGCATGCCCTATAGTTGTGAACTCCGTGTGTTCTTTTTGCCATTTGAGTTGCTTTCTAGGTATCATGGAACTCTTCCTGACAGTTCTACCCAACACAGAACAAACACAGTGCAGGGCCATAAACATGGTTGAAAGAATGTGGTATTGAGCAGTGAAGAAGATCAATGGAGGTTGTTCAGAATAACAATCCCCAGGGCAGCAGAGCTTGGCCTGAAGAAGTTGGGTGTAATGTTCAGTGGCTGCCTTCCATTTAAAACATGTAAAAGACTGAGATTCCAGTGGGGTTTGGGTGGGACCTATGAGCATCGACTAAAAGATGGATGGCAGCAGTGTATTATTTCAATTACATTATAGGTTTACCTCCAAACCGAAATTACCTTGATAAAAGTAGGCGAGCAAACGTTCATGATACCTTGGTATACTTACCTGGAATTACTTATCTTTTATAAATTGTGGTTATCACATGTTAAGCTTTTTCTATATTTTAAAATCAATAATAATAGCAGTTGCTGGTTATTGAGTTTTCACTATATGTTGAGCATTTGACCAACACTATGTCATTTCATCCTTACAACACTCTTTTTCACAGAATAAACTGGGACTTTGATTGTTAAGTTAGAAGGCAGAATTGGTGGGACTGCATAATTGAACATGTGAGTGAGGCAGCTGCCACTTGGACTTGAATGCCTGAGAAACCAGTCACAGAATCAGACTAGGGGATGCCGCCCCAACCCCAACTCAAGCCTGCAGGTCACTTCCTCTGCTCTGGTGGTGCCATTCACGGCATTGGAGTGTTTGGGTGGGGACCCCAGCCAGCTGCAGACAAGTGCTGCCCTGCTGCTGGAACCTGGAGCACGCCCTGGAGCTATCTGGGAGGGTGGCTCCCTGTCACCATCACCATGCCCCAGGGTCCTGCCCTGGCACTCTGGTATTTTCCCTGGAATTAGCTCCTGGTCAGACATTAGTTCACTGGTTCTTTGGCTGGCCTTTTCCCCTGTGTGTGATTAGATCACTTTAGTGACCTTGGTTCTGGGTCAGGTACCAGGTAGATTGCAGTTCATTGCCTTGAGGACACAGACCGGTGTACAGTAAAGACAATGGGTGGATGATCCAAGGGCAGGAGCTGGTGGGTAGAGAAGCGAGTCCTTGATGAGGTGTCTGGACATCCTTTTACCATGGGACAGAGTGGGACCTGCATAGGGAAGGAGACCTCATGCAGCTTCCTAAATTAGAGCCCTAAACGAAGATGGTTTCTCTCCAATGTCCCTTATTCCATGAAGCCCCCTGCAAGGCCTCCAGACCTCCAGGGGGTGTAGGGCCCTTATGCCCTCAGTCAAGTAGGTTGTGGCCCTTCATTGATGTGCCAGCTTGGGTGCCACAGAAGCAGAGGCCATGTCCTTGGGCCTGTGTCTTTCCCAGTTTTGAACATCATGAGTGGTCAGTAAATGTTTACTGAGTGAACGGTGTCTTTTTCACCATGGTGGATACTAAACATCTAGCTAAAACTAAAAGAGTTCTTTTCCCCCAAACAAAAACTTATCTTTTTATATGCACCATGGTCCCTGATAAGTCATGAGTCTACTTCCCATTCATTCTGCCATCATTGCTATAAGTCCTGAGAGTTTCCAGGGAAAAGTCAGCATTATTTGGAATCTGTACTTCTGCCTTGGGACAACAGTTTTTTCTTGATGTTCCTACCATACACACAAAACAAATGAAAATGAAGACGAAGGAGCTCAGCTAGGCTAGCCTCCATAATGAGGATTCAGTCATGCAAACACGTTTTCAGAAGCAACCTAGGAGTCCTGAAACAGACCTGGAATCACCTTCATAGCTGCTCAGGAGAGAAAGTGCACAGGTGGTCTTGTAAGTGGAGAGGAGAATGCAGAAACTGTCAACTTTAAAAAGACTCACCTCTAAAAAGTGGGAAAGCTCGTTGTTGATGAGCTCCTTGAGTTCGGATTTCTTCAGCTTGTGCTTGTCGCCCTCCCTTCCAGAATATTGATGGAAAACGTCAATGAGGGCCACCACGGCCTTCTCCAACTCAGACATCCTAGGGGTCCACAGAGGAAAAATGCCTTCTCATGCTTTTTGCCTTCTTTTACATAGAACAGTTAACATGTCACCTATACAGACCCAGACCCAGGGGAGGGGGCTGAGCCAGCCTTGGTGCATCTCCCATGCAGGGCATTCTGGGAACTCGCTCAGTGTCACCGTTCTCCCATCCACTTTTTAGATCCACTCTCTCTTCTTCCCCTCCCTCCTCTGTCCCTGTTGACAAACTCCCAGCCCTCTGGCTTCTGGTTGGGTTTGGCCAATGGGAAACTTCAAATTCAAAAATATGAAAACAGAGCAGAGAGGGAGTTCTGGGATTGATCCCTACCTCCTCCCTTGGGCTACCTTCTGCCCTGGCAGGGCTCCAAGTGACAGTGCAGGTGAGCAGAGCAGCAGCTACAAGCTGTTAGGATTCATCAGAAAGAAGTAAGGTGACTAGCAGTCAAATGAGGGTACAAACCTCGATAGTATTCTTATATTCTGTCAGTAAACAATTGGAAAACAGGAGGAGAATCCCATTCACACAGTAGCACATACAAATTACTAAGAATGAGTTTAGTATGAAAAATGCAGGTCCTTCTGAAAGATTATAAGGATCATAGAATGTAGGAATCTGCTTACCTTTAAATTAGTATATACATTTAGATCATTTTAATAAAAATCTTTACTGGAAAAATAAGTATGTTAGAATTCCCCCACATTTTTTTGATAAAGAAGATCAATGAAAGGTACCTGGATCTACCAGAATCAGAAATGTACTCTCAGGTTATACAGGTAAGCTCATTCCGCTACAGGAACAGACTAGTGCAGAAGGAGCCCCAGCCAGGTATTTATTTAGTATCCAAGGAGATGCTGCCACATGTGAATGGGGGAAATGCCGCTTATTAACTGCAGTGAGTGTTTCTCTGCAGTTATCAAAGTCAAGAACTCTCTGCTTCCCTCAGTGTGCACCTTATGCCATGGCCTGTAAGCTGAAGAAACACCTGGTCAGTCCTGGGGATTAGGCATATTTGACAAAGGACAGTTTCTCTGCTGTTTCACAAGACTGCGACACTCAGCCAGAGACATTGACCAACTTTTGACCTTGAATTCTTATCATTAAAGAATTTTAGCCCTGGCCGGTTTGGTTCAGCGGTTAGAGCGTCGGCCTGCGGTCCAGAGAGACCCGGGTTCAGTTCCCGCTAAGAGCACGTACCTCAGTTGCAGTTTGTCAACGGCCCTCTTTGGGTCGTGCGGGTGGCAACCACTTGATGTGTCCCTTTCACGTTGATGTCTCCCTCTCTCTCTCCTTCCCACTCTATCTGAACAAAAAATGGAAAAATGTCCTCGGGTGAGGATAAAAAAAAGAATTTTAGCACTGTCATAGTTAAAGATCAATACAAGAATTACATCTAATTGTTGAAAAAGCATTTCCTTGTTGAATATGTCATATCAAAAATAACTTGGAATAAAATATTTAAATTTTTATTTATTTCTGATTTCCCAAGGGAAAGAGAATTGAGGATTTTTGTCTTGGCCTGATCTTTGCTAAAGTCACACTATTAATTATCATATAATTAATCAGATATATCAAATGTAGATAGAACAATCCAGATGGATTAAAATCTAACATTTCCTGCTTTCTTATCCTTTGTACTCAAATTTCGATTATTGATCTTTTTTTTTAAAGAAACGAAACAAGCCTCAGTTGATTAGAGTGTCATCCTGATATGCCAAAGTTGCGGGTTCAATCCCCAGTCAGGGCACATACAAGAATCAACCAATGAATGCATAAATAAGTGGAACAACAAATTTCTCTTTCTTTCTCTCTCTCCCTCTCTCCCTCTCTTTCTTGCCCCTTCTCTCTCTCTCTTTAAAAAAAACAAAATACTTTTACATCATCTTGATGCTTTTCAAAGTCCACGATGTTTTGGGGAAGATGAAGGTAAAGTATTATTACTTTTCTTGTGAAGTCTAACTAGTGGTTTTTTTTTGTTTTTTTAATCCTCACCGGAGGATATTTTTCCATTTATTTTCAGATAGAGTGGGGTGGGGGTTGGTGGTGGAGAGAAACATCAGTGTGAGATTGGTTGCCTCCTGCACAACCCACACTGGGGCCAGGGATAGAACTGCCAGCGAGGTACCTGCCCTTGACAGGAATCGAACCTGAGACTCTTTGTTCTACGGGCCAATGCTCTAACCACTTAGCCAAACCAGCCAGAGCAGGACTTTTTTAAAAGGAAAAGCATAAAACATATACTTCATATGTTTTAAAATGCCATAAAATGGGATTTTCTTTATAACCATACTACAAGTTAATTTTTTTCCTGTTAAATTCTTCCCTTTGATTAAGAAACAATTTTTTAAAGCTTATCATTTAAGAGAAATGGAAATCAAATAACCATGTTTATTTTTCACTTCATTCTGTGAATGTATTCCAGCATTAAACTTTTTATATAAAAAACAACAGAACTTTTGGGCTTTAACTCCTGAGGAGGACACATCCCACATGATGTGAGGGTCCCTCTAAGGAATGGGCCCTACCTACCTGAGAACTTACAAGACTGATGAAAGTTAAACCCACCACAAACGCCGATTTCTTTGGCCTAATTTATGATTTACTTGTAAAGACCGTTCATTTGTCATGGAATTTCTGAGGGGTGTCTAGAGGACCCTGACATTTCCCTTTGAGGGAAACTGGAACACCAAGAAGCAGTCCTGTGCCCAGGGCCAGGGCAGGAGCTAGGAGGAGAGAAAACCTTCCTCTGGAAGATAGGGCTAAACTAGCATCAGGTTGCCCACCCTCCTCAGCCCTGCCAGGCAAAAATCCTCTTTAAAGAGGGAAGAGTCAATATCTGTGGTACTTCCGGGGAAATGTCAGCAATCACTCCTGAGCCCCAGACTGAGGTTTCTCCAGTTTACGGTGAGAAAAATGGGTAAAATGAACCTCTAGCTGTCTAGGCTTGAGGCAGACATGTCCACAACTCAGTAGTAAGATCCACACTTTTGAAATGCTGCAATTATCTAAAGGGGCTTTTTAAACTACCACCCAGTTCTCCAAACCACTGCCCCTCCCCCGAAAAAGAGCAGCTTTTGCCCCCTCACGTAGTGATCTTGGTCGCTCTTCGTGGTCACCTCCTGGCTGCAGCGTCCTGAGTGGCAGGAATCGTGGGCAGGGGCAGCCTTTTATTCCTTCCTCTGGGCGTGGGCCCCTTGTGCAGTCCCACTGCAGGCCCAGGCAGCCAATGGGGGCCTAGGACAGGGTGGGGGTGGCCCAGGCAGCCAGGCCTGCACACAGGGCTGCATTGACAAAGCTGCCACCCGGGACTACACTTGGGCCAAGGAAGAAAACAGCCTGTGGGGCAGGAAGTGGGGAGTCAGCTTTTTGTGCTATTTTTAATTTATACATGAATATTAATGTTCTTCTAAAAGCAAGGTTGGGAATGGAGAGAGGAGACAGATTAATTGATTCAAACAACGCAAATGTTCAGCCAAGAACGCAAAGAGTCCAAGTGCAGGCTGGCCCATGCTGTTTTCCAGTGGAGAGGCCCCTGTGTGCTCTCCTGTCTCCACCCCCCCACCTGGCCCCCACCAGCAGGCAGGATGCCCCATGGACATCTGTACCCTGAGCTAAGCACTGCTGCCTCGAGAAGCCACAGAGCCCAGCATCTGCAGGCAAAATAGATACTTAATGCATTTAGGGGGAAATCCTTGTTTAATATGATTGAGCGAATATACCAGCCATACCCCAAGGCCTCCTCCTTTATCCCAGGGTGAACAGTCACAGATTTTCATGTACTGTCCCAGTACTCTGTTCTGCAAAGGTACAGGTTCTGTGCCTCACTGAGACTGAGGCCCCACAGCCAGCCACTGGGAAGCCAGGCCCAGCCTCCCGCCACCCATCTTCAACGGCCCTCTACCTGAGATGTTTTCAAGCAGAAACTCAAAAGGTAGGCATTCCTTTAGATGATTATTCAAAACACATTGGCTCCAAAGTCATCAAAAGATGCCTGAACCATGATCAGGGCCCTTCTGACTCAGGTTCACAGTGGCCATGGAAGAATCCAATGCACAAAGATATCTGTGGATACAATTGTTTTGTTGTTATCTGTTTTACTGGGAACTTCTTGTCTATTCAACACCCAGAAGTGTGGCCTGGAAATAGCACCAGCTGTGAGCCTTGGGACCTGAGTTGTCCCAGCCTGAACACCCAGCCTTGACTGTGGAAGAAACAATGAGCCCGGTTTACAGGGGGGTCTGCAGGATATGGTGCTGCCACCCTGAAGTGTAGCACTGGCCACACTCAGGGTGACCCTGCACACAGTGGTGAAGGGAAGTCCTCTCAGGGGCTGGACTTAGACCAGCACATTGCATTGTCCATGTCATGCAGTGCATGGATGTGTATTAATTCAGGGGAGGCTCCTAATATTTGGTCAGCAATTTGGAAGGAACAGGATTGGAAACTTGGCTCTGGAAGAGGCATGTGGATGGACCTCTGAATGAGCACAGTCTGAATGCATTTGTGTTCCCAGTGAATGCCCATCAATAGGCACACACTGCTGAAGAGGCTCTGAATAATCAGCTGGAAAGTGATCGACCCTGTGGGTGTCAGAGCTGAATAGTGCCCTAGACATGTCTTGTCCAAGTACTTGGTTCAACCAGCTCTGACTGCCTCCACTCCAGGGGTTGCTCAGTGTGTCCATGAGTGAAGTGACTAAGTGGCAGGCATGGATGTGCGCCTGTGCTCATCATCATGGCCTTCCTCTCACCAAAGCTGAGTAGGACACTGCTGCTGTTGGGTTCCTGAGCTGCCAGCAGTCCTGTGGTGAGCAGTCAGACGCCTGGTGGACGATTGATTACATTGGACCTCTTCCATCATAGAAGGGGCAGAGATCTGTTCTCATTGGAGTAGACATATATTCTGGGTGTGGATTTGACTTCCCTGTCAGTCCTGCTTCTGTGAGCACCAACATCCATGACCGCACTAAAGCCTAGTCCACTGTAATGGCATCTGGGCAGCACTGCATGTGATCAAGGAGCTCATTTCAAGCAAAGGAAGTGCAGCAGTGGGCTCATGCCCACGAACTAAGTGGTGTTATCACACATCCCATAACTCAGAAGTGGTTGACCCCAGTTGAAAGGTGAAATAGCTTCCGAAGAGTGAGTTATGATGCCAGATAGGAAGCAACATCCTGGAAGGGTGGGGTTCCATACTACAGGATAAATATATACTTTGAACTCCTTATGCCTCTGAACCAACAGGCAAAAAAGGGTTAATCTACTGGCTTGAGTGATTGATCCCAATTACCACCGTGGATGTTGAGTTACTGCAACACAATGAAGGCAAGGAGGACTATGGCACCCAGAGGCATCTGGGCAACTGGGGCATCTCTTAATACTTTCATAACCAATGGTAAAGGTTAATGAAAACAACAACCAAAAAAAAAAGAAAAAAAAAGCCAGACTACTGAAGACTCAGGTCCTTCAGAAATGAAGGTTTGGGTCACTCTACCCACCAAGGAACCCAGAGTAGGTTCTAACTGAGCACAAAGGAGCTATGGAACGGACAGTTGAGAAAGGAAGCCATGCTGTTACATACAATCTCACTACCAGTTACACAAATGAGGACTATAGCAGCTTTGCATAGTATTTTGTTTGTTATATGCATGTATTTATTTACTAACCCATTTTCTTTACTCCTCTCCAACTTTTATTTTATAAATGAGTTGTTGGAGGTTAGCATTTCAGTTTAATCTTTAGGTAACTGAATTTTCAGTGGAACCATAACTGAATTTGAGGAGTAAGTGTAATGGCAGGTACCATGACCGCTGGGACTGTGCATCTTCTCATTTGGAGAAGAACTTCTTCATTTGTCACAAAGCTGGTTGTGTCTTTTTAGGGAGAAATATAGAATTATTTAGTTGTTGTAGGGGAGTCCAAATGTGTGTGGAATATTACTGATGGACACTGAGTAGCCAAAGGGTGGACTTGCCGCTCTAGATTTATTGCCTCTCAGGTCTGATTCTCTGCTTCAGCACCTGCATAGCACTCAAGGACTTTCTAACTGTGGCTCCTTACAGTAAGCCTGATGTGAAGTTTTGTACTGAGGGTGTTAGAAGGGGGAAGGGGCTTCCTTCCATGTTGTGCTTTGTCACCTTCTTCCGGTCCTTCACAGCATCTGGTAGTGCTCTGCCCCAGCCACATGTCCAGAGAAGGCAGCCCTTGGTGACTTTGCAGCCTGGCCTGGGCCATGGCTATTGCACCCTGGTTCTCCTGACCTGGACACAGCACACTCCAGAACTTGCATTCATATCAGCTCCCTACTGTCTCTGCATGTCTACCCACCAGCCTCAGCATGCCCTGGAGGTTGTTCTCATGATCTTCCTGGTGTGGTCATTGCAAGGCCCAGACTCACATTCACAGTGGCACCCCAGCCCCCTCTATGTACCCCACCCCTGGCCTTGGCTCATCTGTGGTCTCTAGGGTTGTGTCAAGAATTGTGAAGGGCTGCACTTTTACCTGCTGTAGGCTAACCAGTTGGCATGTTCTTGTTTCACAGATGCTGGTAGAAGGCACGAGGTTCCTGGGTCAGAGTTTACTCACGAAGAAACAATGGGCAGAGCTGCAAGTTTACGGTGGTCCCCCTAGTCCACGGCTGTGAGGCAGATGGGCCTGGATGAGGGCGTATATGTACAGGGTATGTGTCCCAGGAAGGCTCACTGAGCTGGGGGTCTTGCTGCTTCCACACCAAATGGTGACAAACCCATCCTTTGTCCTCCCTCCTCAGGGTTGCTCCCTGCAACAGCCCTGAGCAGTCGCCTGGATAAAATGTGGCAAGGGCCTTGCATTCTTGGCGTGCCTGGCAGTAACAGCAGGGCACTCAAGGCCATGGGGGTTTCCTGTGCCAGCAGGCATTCCTATTGCCCCTGCCTGTGGACCAGCTCTCACCTGGGCAGACAGCAAACTTCTCCAACATGGTATGAACCCCAGGCTTGGGAAGGGTCCCCCTTCTAAGCCTGTTCTTCCTTGGTTATTTTCCCTCAGCCATAGGCTGCCCTTTCTGTAGGTTCCACCACAATTGATTAAATCACTGGCCAGTGGTGAGTAACTCACCCCTGAGTTTGGGGGTAGGGCTGAAAAGTCCAACCCCCTAATCACAAGGTTGGTTTCACTGGTGACTAGCTTTCTCTGTGCAGTTACTGTCCTGTTGCAGTTTCATAATTCTTATGTTAAACTTGACCTGTTTAAATTACTGTGTGGTTTCTGTCTCTTGAATAGACCCAGACTGATACATTAGGCAGCAAGAAAAATAAGCATTTATTAATTTTTACTTTTCTTCTGTTAGTCTAAAATGATTTCAAAATAAAAAATTTGAACATATACTATATGGAAAAAGTAAACTTAGCGAAGGAACAAAATGGAGGAAAACAATAGAGCTGATGCCTGAAATCAACAGTTAGTTTTTGAATATATAAAATCCCCAGACTGATGTACTATGATATTTATTTATTTATTTATTTATTTATTTATTTATTTATTCCAACAGAACACTTCCAACACCAAATATGTGTTTTTCTTCCTCACACCAGTCAATTCTTCTATACCAGCAGGGTGTCCTACAATTCGGTACAGTTCTGACTCCATCTACCTGGAGTTCATGCAGACCCCACAGGTTAGGGGCTCAGTCCCACAAGACTGTCCCCACCTCAGACATCAATTGCAAGTCCTGGGCCACACATACTTCTAACTGATTGCCTATAAATTGGGGGTTCCTATGACCATCTCCTCAGGCTCAATAATTTGCTAAAACAGCTCACAGAATCAGGAAAACAGTTTACTTACTATTACCAGTTTATTATCAAGACTACAACTCTGGAATAGCCAAATGGAAGAGATGCGTAGGGTGAGGTTCGGGGGAAGTGATAATGGAGCGCCCTTGCTCTCCGGGTGCACCCTTCCCCCAGCACCGCCACCATGTGTTCACCAACCTGGAAGTTCTCTGAACCCCATCTTTTTGGGGTTTTATGAAGGTTTCATTATGTAGCCACAATTGATTAAATCACTGGCCAGTGGTGAGTAACTCACCCCTGAGTTCGGGGTTAGGGCTGAAAAGTCCAACCCCCTAATCACAAGGTTGGTTTCACTGGTGACTAGA